ATATATATATATATATATATTAAAATCAAATTTAAATTCATAAAAATCTAAATTTGGAATCATATCATCAAATATACTAAAATATTATATATACTAAAATTTAAATGGAAATGACAAAAATAAAAACTGATTTATTGTACTGTTTAATAATGCATATGGCTCGCGGTGTGTGTGAGAAGGATATGAGCAGCTGTGACGAAGGCAGACACAAACCACTCGTTGAATTTGTCCACAGTCTTCAGGTACATGTTGTTGGACTGCCACATGTTCTCATCCAGCAGATCCAGAGCAGCATGAGCGATGAACTGGTTCAGATGTCTGTGGTCATCCTGCATAATCATAAACATCAGCATCAGATCATTACTGTCACTGTAATATCATTATTATTATTATGCTCACCTTTGCTTCTGACTTTCCAGGAGGGAGAAACTCCATCTCAAACACTGGGTTATCATGGTGACCCACCATAACGAAATAAAAACTCCCCGACATGGTTAATAATCAGAGTTTAGAGCTGTAAACAAACATGAAACCAGCAGTCAGTTATTGAATATTATAGTACATAAACACTGATGCACATGTAAACACATCTCACCACAGCAAGTATGACTTCAGTTTCAGTTCAGAAATTATGACCCATTCTAAAAACACCTCCTTTAAATAAATAACTAATTATGTAAGTCACAAAGCGAATATTGTGGAAAATAATTAAACATACACTGAACTACAGCAGATGAGGATCAACGCGATCAAGAGTTCCCGTTTCCGGTGCATTGACCCAGCTGACACAAAACAGCCAATGGGAGCGCTGAGAGAGAGCTTACGTCATAACGACGAATCCGGAAACAGAGCAGTCTGTTGTCAGTTAGGATTTTTAAAGCGCTGCGGCGCGCGTTGCTAAGGAACGGACCGTGGCGCATCACTGATCGATTAATTCGGTGAATGTCGATCGATTATCGGCGAATGATCGTGTTTGTCGGTGAATGATGATGTCTGGGAGTGAAGAGCAGAGTTTGTCTCCGGATGAGATGCGACAGAAGCTCTATCAGACCTTCAGGAGCCGCGGGCTTCTGGACGCGCTGAAGGTCAGATGAGAATTATCATTATTATATCGATAAAGTCAACATAGTGATGTTTTACTGACTTGTTTTTTCACAAAGTCCAAAACCCGAGACCAAAACTTGCATTCTACAGCTATCTGTCTCTCATTCTATCTCTCAGTCTGTCGTTCTGTTTATCATTCTATTTATCTCTCTGCCGTTTTATCTATCTATCTATCTATCTGTTTGTCTATCTATCTATCTATCTGTCTATATATCTATCTATCTATCTATCTATCATGTTCTATCTATCTATCTATCTATCATGTTCTATCTATCTATCTATCTATCTATCATGTTCTATCTATCTATCTATCTATCATGTTCTATCTATCTATCTATCTATCTATCTATCTATCTGTTTGTCAATCTATCTATCTATCTATGTTTGTCTATCTATCTATCTGTCTATCTATCATGTTCTATCTATCTATCTATCTGACTATCTATCTATCTATCTATCTATCTATCTATCTATCTATCTATCTATCTATCTGTCTATCTCATGTTCTATCTATCTGTCTGTCTGTCTATTTATCATTCTTTTGTTCTATATAATTTAGTTGTTCTTTCTCTCTGTGTGTTTATCTATATCATTCTTTCTGTCTGTTTGTCTATAAATCTATCTGTCTGTTTATTGTTCTATCGTTCATTCTCTTGTTCTGTCTCTCTGTTTGCCTGTCTGTCAGTCTGTTGTGCTTCTATCTGTCAGTCTGTTGTTCTGCCTAGCAACAACCTAGTAACTGCCTGCTTCAGCTTCAGCTTTAATCCAATCTTAATCAAGCCATCAGCTCGCTGAGTGTGTCAGATCTGTGAGACTGTTGGGATTCTCCTGGAACAGGATTGGAAAACACTGAAAACCTTATATATTCAAACTACACAAGTCTACATAACCTTCCGGATTCAAACTAACCTCCTGCAGTAAACTTTCAGTCAAGACTTTGGTTCTCTAGTCGTGTTTTCTGGTGTGTTCTGCAGACGCAGCTGAGGAATCAGCTGATCCAGGAGCTGCATCCGGCGGCGGTGCGGAGAGGAGACGCTCACTCTGTGTTAGTCACCGCATGCAACAGCGTCATCGTCCATCACCTGCGGAGCGTCGGCTGCGACTACACGCTGTCTGTCTTCCTCCCCGAATGCGGAATGAGCAAAGACCAGGTGACTCCACATGACTTCATACTTACTGTTGTTTTGCAATTCTGATTTATGATTTTGTCAGGAGGCTGTTAGGAAAATGCTCATGAAGAACTATTTTTGGAACTATATTTTTTAAATGAACATTATGAATGAACCTCATGGAAAACCACAATCAAGACCAGGTCTTGTTTTTGTTGGACTTGTCTAGGTTTTATCAGCCAGAGAGCTTCTGCAGCTCACGAAGATCAGCCCTCACACGCCGTTATACAAATCTCTGGTAATAAAACGTACATTTCTTCAGTGAGAGGACATGCTTCTGTATGTATAAATGCTATTGAAGTAGTTGTTGTTTTACCTTAATATATTTCCCTATTTCTCGTTCTTTCACATTCGGGCAGGTATCGAATATTCAGAAGGGACAGACAGGTACGGTATGATTATGCCGCTACAATGAAAAAAATGGTGTAGGATTTACATTGAAACATTTTTTTGTTGTTGTTTAATTGTTAGTAAATTCCAGAAATATTTATGAAGAAGATTGGTTTTATAACAAATGAAAGCACTTTTAAAGGGGTCATATGATGCTATTTTAAAGATCATTATTTTGTGTATTTGGTGTAACAGAATATGTTGACATGCTTTAATGTTCAAAAAACACATTATTTTTCAAATACTGTACATTATTGTAGGTCCTCTATGCCCCGCCTCTCTCAAACGTCGTTTTCAACAAAGCCCCCTCCTTTGACAAGCACAGTCTGCTCTGATTGGCCAGCTGAACCAGTGCATTGTGATTGGCCGAACACAGCAAGCACTCGTCGGAAATGTAACGCCCCTTAACATAATCGCGAGCTTCATCTTTCAAAATAAATGTAAAGACAGTAAATAATGTCATTAGTTTTACCATCAGTTCAAGCC